AAAAGTATGCAGATTGAGAAGGAAGCTATAAAACTCTCTTTGTTTGCAAATGACATGATCATCTATGTAGAAAATCAAAAAGAATCAACACAAAAACTCCTTTAACTAATAAGTGATTACAGCAACATTGCAGAATACAAAATCAATTCCCAAGTCAATTGTTTACCTATATATCAATAATGAACAAGTGGAATTTAAAATTAAAACACAATGCCATTTACGTTAACACTCCCCAAAATGAAATACTAGGGCATCAATCAAACAAAATATGTACAAGATCTATGTGAAAAACTAGAAAACTCTGATGAGTAAAATCAAAGAACTAAATAAATGATGAGATATCCCACATTTATAAATAGAATAACTCAATATTGGCAATATGTCAATTCTTACCAAATTGATCTATAGAGTCAATGAAATTCCAATCAAAATCCCAGCAAATTATTTAATGGGTATCAACAGACTGATTCTAAAGCTTACATGGAGAGGAAAAAGACCCAGAATAGCCAACATAACGTTGAAAGAGAGGAACAAAGTTGAAGGACTGACACTATCACACTTTAAGACTTAAAGCTACAGTAAAGACAGTGTTGTATTGGTGAAAGAATAGACAAATAGATCAATGGACCAGAATGGACAGTACAGAAACAGATCCCTATGAATACAGTCAACTGATCTTTGACAAAAAAGCAAACACAATACAGTGGAGCAAACATTGTCTTTTCAACAATTGGTGCTGGAGCACCTGGACACTCACCTGCAAAAAAAAAATGAACATAGACACAGTACTTACACATGTCATAAAATTTAACTCAAAATGGATCATAGACCTAAATCTAAAATATAAAACTTCAAAACTCCTAGAAGATAACATAGGAGAAAGAGTGGGTGACCTGGAATATGATGATGCCTTTTTAGATAAAACACCAAAGATGTGTTTAGTTAATACCAGTTTAATTAATAAACTGGACTTCATTAAAATAAAAACGTCTTATCTGCAAAAGAAAATGCCAAGAGAATGAAAAGTCAAGCTACAGATTGAGAGAAAATATTTGCAAATGATACATTTGATAAAGAGCTCCAATATATACAAACAACATTTAAAACTCAACAATAAGAAAACAACTCTATTAAAAATGGGCCAGTGACTTTAACAGACACCTCATCAAAGAAGTTATACAGGGGTCGGCTCAGTGGCCAGCGATTAAGTGCATCCTTCTGCTTCGGCGGCCCAGGGTTCGCTGGTTCAGATCCCGGATGGAGACATGGCACTGCTTGGCACCACTTGGCACACCATGCTGTGGTAGGCATCCCACATATAAAGTAGAGGAAGATAGGCATGGATGTTAGCTCAGGGCCTGTCTTCCTTAGCAAAAAGAGGAGGATTGGCAGCAGTTAGCTCAGGGCTAATCTTCCTCAAAAAACAAAACAAAAAAGAAGTTATACAGATGATAAGTAAGTATATGTAAAGATGCTCTACATCGTATGTCATCAGAGAAATGAAAATTAAAACAATAATGATATACCACTGCATGCCTATTAAAATGGCCAAAATCTAGAACACTGACAACACCAAATCCTCCTGAGGACGTAGGGAAGCAAGAAATTTCATTTATTCCTAGTTGGAATGCAAAATGGTTCAGCCACTTTAGAAGACATTTTGATGGATTCTTACCCAACAAAACATACTCTTACCATATGATCCAGGAATTGTGCCCCCTGATATCTACCCAAAGGAATTAAAAACTTATGTCCACATAAAAACCTTCACACAGATATTTATAGCAGCTTTATTCATAATTGCCATAATTTAGATGTAACCGAGATGTCCTTCAATGGGTGAATGGTTAAATAAACTGTGAAGCAGCTATACAGTAGAATACTATTCAGTGCTAAAAATAAATGAGCTATCAAGCCGTTAAAAGACAGGGAGATGACTTAAATGCATATTACTAAGTGAAAGAGGCCAATGTGAAAAGGCTGTGTACTGTATGATTACAACTCTAGGACATTCTGGAAAAGGCAAAACTATGGAGACTGTAAAAAGATCTGTGATTGTCAGGGATGAAGAGGGGAGATAAAAAGGCAGAACACAGGGAATTTTCAGGGCAGTGAAAATACTGTATATGATATTATAGTGATGGGCATATGTCAGTATACTTTTGTTCAAACATATGGAATGTACAACACGAAAAGTAAACCCTAATATAAACAAAGGACTTTAGGTAATTATGATGTGTCAATTTAGGTTTATCCTTGGTAAAATAAATGTACTATTCTAGCGGGTGATGTTAATAATGTGAAAAGTTATGCATGTGTGGAGACAAGTAGTATATGGAAAACCTGTACCTTCCTCTCAACTTTGTTGTAAGCCTAAAACTTCTCTAAAAAATAAAGTCTTGAAAAAAATCTAATTCACAGTGAGTTCAAATGACAAAAGAAAAAACACATATGCTTATGTCAATAGATATAAAAAAAAGTATTTGACAAAAATTATCATTCATTCATGATGAAAACTCTCTGAAAATTGGAAATAGAAGGAAACTTCCTCAACCTGATAAAGTATCTATTTAATTACAATAAAAATCTCGTCAGTAATTTTGTTGATCCAGGTGATTCTAAAATTTCTATGAAAATGCAGATAACATGGAATAGCATATAAGTATACAAAAACAAACAAACAAACAAAAACCTGAAAAGACCAAATGGTGGAGCTGATGTGGAATAACTAGAAATTGCATTCATACTAGGGGGAGTACAAAATGTTGGAAGGTTTGGAAAACCTTTGAACAATTTCTTATAAAGTTAAGCATACACTTACTATATGACCTAACAATCCCACTCCTATAGGAACTTAAGTTCATGAAATAAAAGCTTATGTTTATACAATAACCTGCAGATGAATATTAATAGAAGGTTTATTCATACTTACCAGAGAGTGAGAACAACCCAAATGACCTTCAACTGGTGAATGATAATCAAATATGATAACATTGAAAAGTATGGTGAATAGTATAGATACTTGTGACGCTCTACCCTTAACTCCCCAAAAGGAACTGAATCTAGAAAAGCGTGCTATATTTAGTGCGTGGTCCTCTACACATCTTCATATTTTAAGCGTATAGATGCCCTTTATTTCACCTATGATAGACTCTGCCTACTCTTTATCTCACTCTGTGTCTATACAGCTCTGCAAAGTTTCAGTCTACAATTTATAAACTTATTTATTGTTAATCTCTTTTACTAAAAGTGCTTTAACACCACAAATGGCCTCCATGACAAAATCTAATGAGAATTTTTCTTTATCCAACATTTGTAAGTGCTTTTCTCTTTATTCTTATTGAAATATTGCACTGCTTTGTCTTCAACACATTCCCCTATCTTACTGCTTACTAATCTTTCTTGGTCTCTTTTTCTGATTTCCCTTTACATATGCCCCTTAAATGGAAGCATTTCTTAGAATTTTGGTCTTGATCTACTTCAGCAAAACTAGTTTCCTGCAGATCCACTCTCTGCCAACACAGGAACTCAAAGAAACACACACAGAAACACAAACACGCACTTTTGACCCTATTTTCTTGATCAGGGAGAAAAATGCAAACTAATACCATCCTTAGTAAACCCTAAACTGTAATATGTAAATAGCAAATATAATCTTCTAATTTCAATGCATTATTTTATTTCAGCTGTTTAGTAAACAAACTGTAGCAATTCAAATTCATGCGGATCGCAAAAGAAATAGTTCCAAAGTGGGTGGTGAGTAAAGAGGCAAATATCAAGCCTGCGAATGATGAACATTTTCAGATCAATTACAAAGGGGAAGTAGAGAAGAAGATGCATTGAATGAAAATGTTAAAAAATGTGTATAGAAGTGGAAAAATGTGACATGTTAAATGTTATTTTGATCTTCTGGAGGAGGAAAACATAAAATGTGCATTCTGAGACCTTATTTCAGTGGAGTTTATCCATATTTTAGACATGTGTCTGCTCAAAACACCTTCACTGAGTTCAGGAACTGATAAATCAGTCCAGAGAGACAAATACAGGGATTTCTAGAAGCTCAAGATGAGATTGACATCTATAATTCAAATCATTGAAGTGTACACATATTAAATTAGAGATATAATCTTTGGAAATATTGAGATATATATAAGTGAATACAAGAATGATTAGCTTTTTGAGCAACTCAGAAATGTAATTATGGTGGCACAGGCTAGTAAGTAATCCTCCCACTTTCATGAAGTTAGTAGGTAACATACCAGGGAAAACACACGGCTCTTATGTCTTGATTATCCCTCAAGAACACCTCTGCTTACTCTCCGGATACACTAAGAAAAATAAATGGAAATCTTTCTATACAATTTAATGAGCTGTCAGTCTTCAAGAAGCCACTTCTAGAATATTAGAGAGATTAAAATAGAATTTAATGACAATTTTTCTTTTCATAGGAAACATTGAGTTCTAACAAGAACATATGGTGTAGAACCCACAGTTGCTTAACAGAATAGAAATGAGGTCAGAGTTGAAATACCCATTGTGCCATGTTATATATAAATGTATAATAGTGAATGAGATCTCATGGAATTAGAAAGTCACCAACGATTGAAATATAAAAGTTGTCACCATGTATACATAGTTTAGAATCTAGGGGTAAAAAGGAAGAGAATAGGTGTGACAGTAGCTGTTGGTGAAAAGCACACAACCTGGGGTAACATTGTGTAAAACTGACCCTGTTCAAGGATAGAATACAACAAAAAGGATAATTATAACTGTTAATAAGGTTTTCATGTAAAACATCATCGGCTTTTGTAAAAGGATTAAAAGGTTTAAAACGGTGTCTGAAAATATGGAGATAAATTATTAGTCATTTTATTTATAAAATCTGTACCTATATTGTGGGAACTAGAATAATGCAAAGATGACCACGACAATGCTATATGACAAGAATTGCTAGGCATATTATTGTGAAGAGGGTATGAGGCACAGGAGTGCCTGTCAATTTAATTCTTAGGAGTGAACATTTTGATAACTGTCTCTCGGATCTGTTTAGTCTTTACTCCATAGACAATAGGGTTAAGCAGGGGAGGAACAAGCAGATAAAGGTTGGATAGAAGAATGTGCACATAAGGAGCAACATTGAAGCCAAATCTATGTATGAAGGATGTAAAAAATGTGAGAATATAGAATTGGAGAAAGACAAAGATGTGGGCTGTGCACGTGTTGAATGCCTTGAGTCGTGCCTCCTTTTGCGACAATTTAAAGACAGCCTGGAAGATAAAGGCATAGGACAAGAAGATAAAGATCACGTCAAATCCAAGGACTGAGAAAGCCACAAGCAGTCCATAAGCTTTATTGATTCTGACATTTTCTGCAGCCAGCGTTACCACAGCCACGTGCGCACAGTAGGAATGAGAGATGACTGTGGTCCGGAAATGCAACTTCATTAGAAGTGGACACATGATGATGGTAAGAGATGCCCGAATGGTCACAACTGTGATGATGCTGATGAGCACCTTCTTCGTGAAGATAGCAGAATGTCTCAGGGGCTCACAGATAGCCACATAACGGTCAAAGGCCATGGCAAGGAGTATGCCGGACTCCATGCACTGGAAAGTGTGAGTGAAATACATCTGGATTAGACAGCAGTCAAACTGAATCTCCCTTGAGTGCAGCCAAAAGATCACCAGCATTTTAGGGGTAATGCACAGAGTCAGGCCTAGGTCAGTAGCTGCCAACACAGCTAAAAAGATATACATGGGCTCATGAAGACTACGCTCAGTGTGGATGATGGTGATGAGGAGGCCATTTCCAATCACGGCCAGGATGAAAGAGATGAAGAACGGGATCCCGATCCAGTGCTGCACTGATTCAAGGCCTGGAACTCCAACCAGTGTGAAGAGAGATGGCTTGAAGAAGGTGCCATTGGTAAGTGCCATGATGGGGCAATGATGTCAAATCCCTCCGATCCTCAAATCTAGTCAGAAAGGATAGAATGTATTAAGAGAATTCACAGTGCAGGTTGAATGACCCTGGGAAAATGTTTGCAAATAATATAATTTATTGCATTCCCCTTCTGCTAAAGAACTTCATCCTGATTTATTAAGGAAATTGGTTTTTTTTCCTTTTTAAAAAAAATCTGTAAGTTAAAGTACCATGTTATTTTAAGTCATTTTTCTTGTTCCTTAAATAAAGTATATGTACAACAGCACAATAAAATAAACACAAATCCATCTGTAACACTGCCAAATAATTTATTCTCATTTTTAAATATGTCTTTATCATCTTTTCTTTTTACACTTCTTCACACTTCTTCTTCTTCTTCTTTTTTTTTTTGTGGTGAGGAAGATTTGGCCCTGAGCAAACATCTGTTGCCAATCTTCCTCTTTTTGCTTGAGGAATATTGTCCATGAGCTAATATTTGTCGGCCAAATCTATTTTGTATGTGGGATGCTGCCTCAGCATGGCTTGGTGAGTGGTATGTAGGTCCTTGCCTGGAATCTGACCCTATGAACCCTGGGTCTCCATACATAGCAAGCAAACTTAACCAGTATGCCACTGGGTTGGCCCCCTTTATCATCTTTATATTTGAGAGTATTATAAAATATATACTGATTTTAAGCACTGTTTTTTTCATTTAGCAAAATATTGTAAAATTTTTCCCAAATATATAAAGAAGTTCTAACTAATAGTCTATTAAAATCTAAAATAAAATCTCCAATCAATGATCTTTTCTTTTACAATTCCAGTCTTTCCAAGTGCTCATCTTTTCAAATATAAATTATCATTTATTTTGATCTTTCTTCCTTTTTTCATTCTCAAGTTTGTATATCACGCTTGTGATTGTATTATAGCTTCTAACAATACTAAAGAGTATAGTGTTCTAAGGATAGTTAAAAAAATTAGCTACAGAGGCTGGCCCCGTGGCACAGCGGTTAAGTTCACAAACTCCACTTCAGTGGCCTGGGGTTTGCCAGTTCGGATCCCAGGTGTGGACCTACACACTGCTTATCAAGCCATGCTGTGGCAGGTGTCCCACATATAAAGTAGAGGAAGATGGGCACGGATGTTAGCTGAGGGTCAATCTTCCTCAGCAAAAAGAGAGGAGGATTGGCGGCAGATATTAGCTCAGGGGTAATCCTCTTCTTCTCAAAAAAATTCACCTACGGGTTTGAGAGATTTTGTGTATATGTGATTTGTACAGTTTAGAGATAAAAAATAAAATAAATCGTAATCCATTTATTCTTACATATTTACAGAAAAAGAACTACCTGAAAAACTATATTTAAAAGTAAAAGTTGATGAGGTGAATAAAAACTAAATATCTCTAAGTTATTTTCAACTTGAAATCACTGACTGCTTAAAAACCTCAAGCATTGCTCAAGGATAGTAAAACAGGAAATATAAATATTTTTAAAGGTCCTGTTTTTACTTCTTGGCATTAGGATGATCACAACTACTTAACAGCTTCTTCTAGAGTTAATTAACCCATTACATCAGAAAACCAATTGGGTCTTTCTGAAATTATTTAAAGTTGAAACTCAGATCTCTTCTAGGAAAATTCCTGGTGTTAAAGGGCTGTGGGATAAAGGTACATTTCCCTCCTTCAAACAAACACATACTTTTGAACTGATTGCCAAGTGATTTGGTTCCATCATTGTTAGGGGCAATCTCTACTGTGTCATGTGCAAAGTGAAGATGATAACAAAATTAGATACTACTGCTTAGTAACAGAACTTTCACTATGCTCATTTCTCCCCGTCGTCACAAGGAAAGATTTTCCAGGCCTCATGGTCATCTCATGTTGCCCCTGATATTGGTGGTCGTCTCCTGTTGCCCCTTATATTGGCGCTCTCATAGCAGTGGATGGTAAATGGTGCTTTCTCTTCACTTCCTGCTTCCAGAAAAACTCTTAAGTGGGAAAGTGCATGAGAGGACCACAGATTTACAAAAGCACTTTTTCTCTTCTTTTAAGCATCTCTTCCAGTCTTTTGAGACATTTAGGAAAGGAGGAAAACAAGGAAAGAAGCTCTCTCTCTCTTCAATTAAACCATCTTGGGCTCTAGAAAAACTGGAAGTAGGCTACGCTTAGGGAGCTGGATAGTAAGAAAAAAGTAGTTATCTGAGTGGACTGACTCTGATCTATGTGAAAAGTAAGAACTCCTAAAGATTTGTTTCTACTTGTCTGCTGGAGTAATGCACAGGTAGGAGTTACAATGTTCATGAATAAATATTTTAAAATAATTTGAAGTTTTCCCTATGCTGTCTCCCTCTGAGGTTATAAAAGGGGTGATTGGGTGTGGTTCATATATTTTGGATTACCTAAGTAAATTATGCTACATTCATTTGACCAACATAGCAATCAATAAAATGTTTTACTATTACGGGCAATTTTTATACGTTTTGCAATATGTCATATGTAGAAGCAGAATACAATTTGTTTAAAAATACTTACCAATACCATGTGTCTGGTAAATTTCCATTTTATTAGCTGACGTAAATAAACCGCAGAGAGATCAAATAACAGACATTGTCTTAAAAGTAACAAGCAGTGGGTCAGGTCCAGAGCAAACATATTTAATCACTACACTATACTGCCTCTGGATACACAGTATGCTGTCATTAAGGAAAAACTCATAATTGCACAAGAAAACGGAAAAGAAATACATTGAATTCTTACTAAATTATTCTGAATATTAATCATAGCAATTCCTAGGTTGTAGGGTTTGGGGATTTTCTTCATCATGTTGAATTAAAACTAATAATAAATATACTAAGAAGATGACAAATCAAACAGATAGAAACTTGCTTTTCTATTCTCCAGTGAAATTTCAGAAATGGTAAAGTATTTTCAATAAAACTATCATCAATGAAATATTTATGAAATGTATTTCCTCCAACACAGGACTGTGTGCTGTGCAAGTAAACAATAGGAGGACAAATTGTCTGACTCTTAACTCGTATTTAAAATCAGCCGGTAATGCTGGTGGTTGCTATGAAAAAGCAAATTTAATGGCATGTGCTACAGGAAAGCAGCTGGGGCTGCCATTATGGAACAGTAGACTTTGTCTCTGATATAAATGAGTGAAATAATCTGGGAGTCATTGAATACTATTATACATTTATTCAACCAAAAACCAAATGTGTATTACACATTTACTGTCTGAGGTACCCCTCAAGTGCCTAGGAGTATGGCCATGCCAAGAACAGCAGCAATCAAAAATACTTCCCTCCTCTATAATTGTCGTTACATAATAGACCTTGCCAGAATGAGACAGGTTGCCTTAAAAAGATACCTGGTAATCTCAACACTTGCCTGATGGTCTCAAGTCACACTGAAATTGTATTCTATAGGGTTGTATTTAAAATATAAGCAACGACAGCCACTAGTTTTATAGGGTCAAAAACACTGTGATGACAAGAGCTTTACATGAATCTACATGCATGACCTCATATAACTGGGAAAGCATCTCTAATAAAGAAGTTATTATCACCATTACATTTTCCTGTGAAGTTAAATAGCTTGTTCAGAGATCTGATAATTTAGAAAAGATTTACCTGACACCAATATTTACACAGTTAATAAATACATTATATAGTTGTTCTCAGTCTTCTCGCTTACATTTGAGAAGCTTCAGTTCTTCAAAGCCTACTTTGGTGTCCTCAGATGAGGAGGGGCATAAATTAGAACAGATATCTCTGATTGCATTGACATAATTATTTTTACTTTGTCTCCTTGTCATCTTCCTTGATGAGCATTATGCATTGTTATCTACATATTTAGTCTCTCTCAAACTAATCACTTGCCTCTCTCTTCCACCATCTTTTCTTTTAGAGACCGTCATCTTCTCAGAATACGTTGAATATGTAAATGTTCCTTCTAATCAGTGCTAAAATACTTACACAAATCTGAACTTCAGAAAAGAAATGCATAAGTGCTTGTGTTGGGTCACACTGAGAAGCGTGTCTCGGCTCAGCAGGAACTATACTGAGATGGGGTTTATAACACAGGTGACATTCCCTTAGGAGTCTGGTGCTACTCTAGAGACAGAGACTATTTCTGTCTTTCCAAAGTTTTCTATACCAGTTGAGACCTTAATTTTCTCTTCATTTACCAAGCCTCGGCTCAATGAAGAAAAAAACAACTCAGGGAATGGGAAAATGAGCGCAGAAAAAACTATTGAAGAACAAAACAAAACAAATAACTAGTAACAAAAAAATGTCTCTCCACCCTCAATAACCATCTTTCTGTGAATCCTTGAACTGATGTATAACAAATATTTAATACATATTTACATATGAAATAGCCTAATTTAACTATTTTAGTAAATTCAGATGCCTTCCAGTGCAAACTCCTAAGCCTGACATTAAATGAGCTTTATTATTAATTAATTAGTATATTCAATAAATAATTATTTGACAATAGATGAATGTCAGACACATTTCTAGGCGTGATACAAATAGCAGTAAAGCAAAAAGCTAAGATCTCTGCCAGATGTCACTTACATTCTCAACTATGACTCTAGCCTTTATTCCTAAGGTATATCACAATCATCAAGGCAAATCCACACCTTGGTTTTTCATTATATTTTTAAACATGAAGACTCTCCTGTAATTCATTAGATTGCTTTCACCAAATTAATAATTTCATATCTTTCAAGGTTCCTTCTAAGCCTTATTCAATAAAGTATCCCAGATCTCTCTTTACAGTCTTATTCTATTTTTTCCATAGACCATGAAAAGCACACTGCCCACTCAGGAAAACATGGATATTTCAATCCATGAATATGACATTTTTCCCTATTTATGGAGGTCTTCTTTACACACTCACTAACACCTTGTAATTTTCAGTGAACAGTGTTTTACATATTTTGTAAATTTAACCCATAAGCATTTCATTATTTAGTTGCTATTTCAATTAGAATTTAAAATTTAACTT